GATTTCGGGGTCGATTTGTGCTCCACGGAGTCAAATTGCAAGCCCTGGTCCCTAAGATTTTGGGCCCAGTATTTGCTCCAAAAGGTGAAATCGCAAGCCCCGGTCTTTAAGATTTTGGGCTCATTTCTTGCTCCAAAGCCCTGGTCCCTAAGATTTTGGAATCGATTTTTGCTCCAAAGAGTCAGATCGCAAGCCCTGGTCCTAAAATGTTGGGCTCAATTTTTGCTTTTCCCTTCTCTTCTGCTTCCTTTTAACTGATAAAACACAAGAAAGGAACTCATATGATAAAGCAGTGGAAAGGTAAGCAGAGGGTGACTCCTTGCGCGTGAGCCTTTCCATAATACTCCATCATATTCATCCTCTCGGCCTATCTCTTCTGTTCCTTTCCTTACTCTTCTCCTTCTCATAGTTCTTCCTTTTTGGTTTTCTCATTTCGAAAAGAAAGAGGGAAGGGAGAAACAAGGGAGAGAGAATAGATAAAGAAGAGTGCCATCTTCTCTGCGCCTTGTTTTGTCTCTCCCTCTTCTCTATTCATCTGTCTTCTATTCTCTTCCTTGCTTTTCCCATTAAATATGCAATCCTTGGTATCTCTCCTCTCTCCTTCTCTCTTCCTCCAACAGATGTGCTTTTGGATCGTTTTCTGCATCTTCAAGCGAGAAAAAAGGACACAGAATGCGATTAAAAGGGACGCCCATGTTGGATTGGCAGCAAGCCCAGCTGATGCTCATGATTCTCTCTCTTTCCCTACACATGGGCGATGGAACGGGTGTCCTTTTCAATCGTTTTCTGCATCTTCAAGAGAAACAGGGACACCCCACAAGAAGGAAAAGCAACATAAGAGATAGGGAGGGAAATTGACCCTTTCCTCTCTTCTTATCTGCTATTTTTCTTATTCGCTTCAAAAAGCAACATAAGGGAAAGGGGATTTCCTGAAGAGGAGAGAGGGAACCTATCTGTGAAAAGCAAGAATGGTTTTTTCTAGTTCTAAAGGGAATAGGGAGAGACAAGGGAGAGATGATATGTACAGCTTTGCGCCTTATTTTGTGATTCCGTCTCCTTGCTTCCTGTCTCTTCTATTCCGTGCAGCACGCTTCGGGAAACATAGCATCCTTGTTATCTTTCCTCTCTCACTTCCCTTTCCCTTCTCTTCTTCCGCTTCCTTTTAACTGATAAAACACAAGAAAGGAACTCATATGATAAAGCAGTGAAAAGGTAAGCAGAGGGTGACTCCTTGCGCGTGAGCATTTCCATAATACTCCATCATATTCATCCTCTCGGCCTATCTCTTCTGTTCCTTTCCTTACTCTTCTCCTTCTCATAGTTCTTCCTTTTTGTTTTTCTCATTTCGAAAAGAAGACGGAAGGGAGAAACAAGGGAGAGAGAATAGATAAAGAAGAGCGCCATCTTCTCTATTCATCTGTCTTCTATTCTCTTCCTTGCTCTTCCCATTAAATATGCAATCCTTGGTATCTCTCCTCTCTCCTTCTCTCTTCCTCCAACAGATGTGCTTTTGGATCGTTTTCTGCATCTTCAAGCGAGAAAAAAGGACACAGAATGCGATTAAAAGGGACGCCCATGTTGGATTGGCAGCAAGCCCAGCTGATGCTCATGATTCTCTCTCTTTCCCTACATATGGGCGATGGAACGGGTGTCCTTTTCAATCGTTTTCTGCATCTTCAAGAGAAAAAGGGACACCCCACAAGAAGGAAAAGTAACATAAGAGATAGGGAGGGAAATTGAAGAACTCCTCATTGTACTTGGTCATTCCCTTTCCTCTCTTCTTATCTGCCCATTTTCTGTGCGCCTTGTTTTGTCTCCCCCTCTTCTCCCATCATCTCTCTTCTGGTCTTTTCTTTGCTCTTCCCATTAAAAATGCAACCCTTTTTATGTCTCCTCTCTCCTTCTCTCTCCCTCCTCTTCTCCTGTTCCCTTCTAAACGACAAAAACGCAAGAAAGGAAGAATAAGAGGGGAATGGAGGCCCTGTTCCTTTTCCTCTTTCAATGGATGGGGGAAGTGGGCGGAGTTGGCCCCTTGCCCGTACACCCTCCCCATGCTTCAGCAAACCCCTCCTCTCGCCCTATCGCCTCTGTTTTTTCCTTGTGCCCAAACGGAAAACGAAAACGGGTTCCTTTATATGTTCATTGTCCTTCCTTTTGTTTTTTTATTTCACAGGGAAAAGAACCAGAGAAGAGGAAGATAAGAACGAGAGGTGAGATGAAAACGGCACCATCTTCTCTTTGCCTTATTTTTGCACCTCCCTCTCCTGTCTTAATTTCTCTTCCACTCTTTTTTTCCATTGCTCTTCCCATAATATTGCATTCCTTTTGATAACTCACAGGAAATTAAAATGGCCTCCTTGTTGTCTCTCCTCTCTCACTTCCCTTTCCCTTCTCTCCTTCTGTTTCCTTTTAATTTTAACTGGTAAAACACAAGAAAGGAGCTTGTAAAATCAAGCAGTGGAAGGGTAAGCAGAAGGTGACTCCTTGTGCGTGGACCTTTGCCGTACTTCACCATACCCCTCTTTTCGGCCTATCTCTTCGGCTCTTTTCCTAACCCTTCTTCTTTTCATTTTTCTTTTTGTTTTTCTCATTTCGAAAAGACAGAGGGAACGGCGAGATAAGGGAGAGAGGATAGATAAAGAAGAGTACCATCTTCTTTGCGCCTTGTTTTATCTCTCTTCTATTCTTTTCTTGGCTCTTCCCATGAAAATCGTGTTCCTCTTATCTTTCCCTCCTTCTCTCCCTTCTCTTCTCCTCACGAGAGCCTTCGACTTTAGGATTGAGGAGAAAAAGAGAAGAGAAAAGAGGAACTACCTGGTTCTTGTTCCTGAGGCCTCCATAGTACGACTGACGTGACAGCAGCGTACCCTCGTGGAAACGTGTATGGCTATAAGAAAACCCGAGTCCCAGCTTCCAAATAGACCCTATTTAAGCCACCCACGGGGGGGGGGGGTCTATATTAGGGGCTCCCTTATTTCCTCAACCCCCATGTGCTTCTAGGTCTGATGTTACCATGTCAATGGGCAAAAATCAGGTTGCAACTTTGACCTTGCGTTGTATGCTCTAGGTCCAATACGTCTGGTTGTTTTTTTACAGTGGTGCTTTGCGGTCTCTGGTTCATCGCAAGCTTAGATGGGAACTCTTCCGCAAGGTTAGTGTTCTTTATAGGGTTTAAGTTTCAGGGGTTTGGGGTGCTAATGCTTTCGACGTTCCCGTGTCTCGACATGCCACCCAGGTGGGAAAGAAATCTTAGCCGTTGCCAGCTGCAAAGAGGAGAAGCTCGGCCTTCACATTGTGACATGCGCGGAAGGCTAAGTTGGTAAGTCCATGTGTTAAGATGTGCTGCCCGAGCTCTGATAAAAAAGCGGTGGCCGAAACGACATCACAAGCCTTTCGCATCTGCTGCAGTTCAGTGGCAAGCCTTTCTTTATAGTAAGACTATTTAAGCCTCAACAGCTTCCCGAAGAAAAAGCTCAGGTGGTTTCGCATAGTGCCTTGGCCAGGCGATCAATGTAAATCACACTTTGGGCCTCGGGTTAAAAGTCTAGGCTTTAGGGTTTAGAGTCTTGTCTGTTTTCAGGAGGACACTAACTAGCATCAAAAAAAGCAACTTTTCTTCAGAGTGGTTAAAGGTCCGACCCAGGCCGAGGCTGGTCCGGATTTGGGGACTCCCAATCGTTGGGTATATTCGGATGTCCCTCTTTTTCCCCCATTTTGTGGGATCTGGGACGCTGTGTAGAGAAGAGCAGGATGCAGAAGGTACATGGCCTACTTGGGGCACCGACGTCATCCTCAAGGCTAGCCAGCCACTGCATCTGATGTGTGTTCAGTTCTTTAATTGGCACAAGCGGAGGCTACAGCGCCTAAACCCAGGTGAACGATGTCTTCTTCATGCCCTTCGAAGATTGGGATGACCATCAGAAGCAGCAACTCTGGGCGTCTTGCTTCAGCTTGGACCAGAAAGGGTAACCCCGACGTCCCCCCAGGAATCCAGCCAAACCCCTAGAAGCCTGGAGCAGTTTATGCACCTCGTTGCATGGAGGGCAAGGGGTTGTGTGTTGCTGGAGGAGAATAAGTTGAACAGGTGAAATAACGAACCTACACACTCTTGAAACCATGAGAAGGCTATCTCGGCCTCACGTACTGATGCTTAGAGTCCGCTCGGTACTCACCTCCCTATAACGCATGCTACTGTATAGCGCACGATCCCTACACAGGAACCTCAGCCTGCAAAGGGAAGGTGCGAAATTGAGAAACATAGGGTTTAGGGTTTAGGGTTTAGGGTTGCCTGGCAGATTGAACCAAGGACTTGGTCCTGGCGCAGCACAACAGCCATGGCCGGGAGCAGTCGTGAGGAAAAGAGCTTAGAAGAGCTCGTGTGCGGACTGTGCGTTATAGGGAAGTAGGGGTTCGGGGGGCTCGTGTTGGGGGGATTTGAAATCCCCCCCCAAACCCCACGCCCCCTTCGCACGCTGACGGGATTCTCACTGGTCCAAGCACTCATCTCACACCACTCCCTGGGCCTGCGGGATGAAAAAACTGTACAGAGAAGGACAGGGAGGGTGCAGAGTTCCTTGCGAGACTCCTTAAGCGCGAAAAAGGGCCCAGGTCTGTGAGCTGGCGGGGTGCTGGAAGCCCGAAACCCATATGGGCACTCCCACCAACTGCCTAAGCCGCCCCCCCTAAACCCGAAACCCTAACTCCCCGAAACCCTGAACAGCAGCAAGGTCCTCTTTGCCATTGAGGAAGGTGCCACGCACATGAGTGCAACTCTGATGCAGACCCGGAGTCCTTAAAAGAGGGCGGGTCATTGAAGGGTTACGACAATGTCAGCACAGAACCCACAACCATCCAAATGAGCCCTAAACAGCTTATAGGGTCCACCCTAAACAGGGATGCCAGTAGCATAATGTACAATTTACGGATTCATTTGGTCCCTGAGGCCCTAAAGAACACATCCACACCCGCGAGACCAGGTGGACATTATGCTGAAGACCTTCGTCGCCGCGGCGTGCGCTGCCCTGGTCGTGCGATTCTTCCACGGCGGCTTTGACACGCGCGCCGGCGAAACTTCGGGGGACTTTTAGGGGCTGAGGGCTTCGGGTTTAGAGTTTAGGGTTTAGGGTTTAAAGGGTTTAGGGTTTAAAGGGTTTAGGGTTTAGGGTTCTGGGGGGGCAGCTGGTGTGGCTGTGGTGTCGCTTAGGCTTGAGGGTTCTATGATGTTCCAGGTTCGAATGTTTTTAAGAAGGGCAGAACACGCTCAACTTCTAACCCCTCAGCCCCTCAGCTGCCAGCTCAACTCTGATTCAATTCCTGAGGCCGGCCTCCGTTTTGCTGCTTTAGGTCTCGGTATTTTGCAGGTTTTGTGATACCTTAAACCGCCTAATGTTGGACCTGCTTTAATAATCTACCCCCCACGCCCCTCAATCGAGGGCCCCTGAATATAAAAAAATACCCAAACAGTCCCCGACCCTGGAAAGGTCGAGGCTTCAGGCGTCAAGTATCTCTCCTTCTCGAGAAAGCTTATGCCTTCCTGCAAACCGAGGGACTGAGCCCCGGGCCCCGGAAGATTTGTATTATGGGCCCCCAAACAAAGGTATTAAACTATGTCCGGAGGCCTCCGTAAGCTACCCCCTTTCCAGATATGATTCGCCCATGGAATCATATAGTTTTAAGTAAGGAATTTATAAAGGAAACGCGCCTTGAAAAAAGAAGATTTTCGGAGATCCTGGAAAGGTCGAGGCTTCAGGCTTCAAGTATCTCCCCTTCTCGAGAAAGCTTATGCCTTCCTGAAAACCGAAGGACTGAGCCCCATAAAAAAACAACAGTCACGGCCCGAACACTTTTCATTATAGTGTACCCCCAAAAGAAATGCCAAAATCCTGAATAGCCGAAAAAAATTTTCGTAATAGCGTCCCCCTAGAATATTGCGGGCGCAACATTAGACCCTAAAGCCTTTGCAAGCTTTGGCCACGCAACCATCAGAAGCAAATCCCCTGAAAGCCCAAACCCTAAACCCCAAACCCCAGACCCTAGACCCTAAACCCTAAACCCTGAACCCTGAACCCTAAACCCTAAACCCTAAACCCCAAACATACAGCAATCCGCTGAAAGCTCCCGCTACCAGGGGCCTTTGGGGCATGCTGGGCTCAGCGGTGCCCCTGGAGTTCGGCGCCCTGCCGGACCTCCAGTATGCCATTTGGGAGACCTGGCGCGCGAGCTTGGGGTTTAGGTTTTAGGGTTTAGGGTTTAGGGTTTAGGGTTAGTGTTTTGGGGTTTAGGGATTAGGGTTTAGGGTTTAGGGCTTGGGAGGGTTGAGGGCGGGCTTCTTCGGGTGGAGAGGTACAGGGGTTCGTAAAAGTGGTTGCCAAGAGGCGCTGGCAACAATTTACGGGTGTTCGGATGTGGGGGTTTCCGAAATTAGGGGGGGTACCTTTTTGGGTAACAGGGAATCCTACTATTTATGGGGGGGCCTTTTCTATTAGGGTCCCTTATGTTCGTAAGCCCCCATGTGTCTGGGTTTTTGCACCATGCGGGAGGATTCGGTCCGCGCGCTGTTGTTTTACCTCATCTCTGTTGGCCGCTATTGGGACAGAAAAGCTTGTAGGGCAGTCCCTAAACCCTAACAACTAAACCCTAAACCCTAAACCCTAAACCCCCTAAACCATGACTCGTATGAGGAGCTTCCCCTGTTCGCATTGCTTGGCATCCTCGGTGGTCTCATGGGCGCCTTGTAGCCCGGAGAGCAAAGCAGGGGGGGATTCTGGGGCTTAGCCGGTTTAGGGTTTCGGGTTTAGGGTTTAGGGCTGGTTTAGGGTTTAGGGTTGAGGGCTAGTCCACGCATTTTTTGGGATGTGTGTCTGTTCAGTATATACTAGACACGCACGCGCGTGCTTCGGTCACGACGCCCATGGGTTGCCGGACTACTCCAGCAAAGCAAGCCAAGCCTCGACCTCCGGGGCTGCTGGTTAGGGTTTAGGGCTTAGGGCTTAGGGCTTAGGGTTTAGGGTTTTGGGTTTTGGGTTTTGGGTTTTGGGTCTAGGGGGGTATTTGTAGGGTTTAGGGTACTTGTAGGCTCTAGGGTTTAAGGTTTAGGGATTAGGGTTCGGCATTTGGCTCAGACTCTGAAAAGCTTAGAGCATGGGTGTGTGTGTGTGTGCGCGCGTCTATATTTATATCTATATATATAGAGTCCGGGGGACTGTGGGAGTGCACTTTTTTGTGTTTTTTTGTTTCATGAGGTTTGCCATGTTACACAACTCACTAATATAAATAAAAACGCCCAACCCTAATAAATTCTATAAGTCTACTTATCAAGTAGTGAATGTATAGAACCTAATAGACTGAGATTACCATGATTCCAAATCTTGCGATTAGTTGGTGAATATAGATTCCAAGTCTTGCTTATTGGGGGTGAATGCGTATGAGGGTGGCTATTATGATTTCAAGTCTTGTATATCGGGATGGTGAATATAGATATCAAGTCTTGCTTATTGAGGGATGAGTGTAAGTTCCAAGTCTTGTTTATCAGGAAGTGAATGAGTTATTAGGGGAATAGTTACTTTTTATTAGTCTTGCTGGTTGGTATGGGGTGAATGCAGCTCTTCAGTATTGCTTTTTCGAGGGGGGTTGAATGCGTGACTGGTGGACGAATACCTGGGTTGCATCAATATGTCTTTTGTGGTTCAAAGACTTCACAAAGAAGCACGTTGCATCGGAACACCGTGTTTTGTTCACAAAAAAACAGACTTTTAAAACAGAGTTCACACCTGCAACTCTATAAAACAACGGTTTATCTGAGATGCATATACAAGCTATGGGAATGACCAATGAATGATTCCTGTAACTCAAAAAGCATGTAAACTTACGAAGGTCGGCAAAAATACATGTAGGTGAATCTATGTCTATAGATGAAATGACAATAAAACTCACAAACACCATGCCTATAATAAAGAGTCAACGATATTATTTAACGCCTCTAACAACACGAAACATCATTCTGGCAGCAATTTTACTGCATAGATTTCTCATAAAACCTCTAGCCAAAAAATGAAGCTATAGAAGCTAGGCTAGAATGGACTGGACTTTTTTTTATAACATATACATTTAACAAGCAAGTACAAAATTGTGCTTAAACTTTGAATTGATACTGAAGAATCATTTTGAAAGACTATTCCTATAGTAGACTTTTGCACAGCACTTTAGATGCGGCAAATAATCTAGAGAGCCCTCTACTGCACTATTAACAATTTCCTAATAACTTATAAATCAATCCATAGGACAAAGAGCCTTATACTCAGATATTATATATATATATGTATATATAGTAATAATAATCATCATTTTTGTCGATGGGAATTTGTTATCCCATCTTATCATACAAATTTATATATCTTGAATGATGAGTTTAAAAATGCTTAAAGCAAAATACTAGAAAATCCAACAAATAACACGCTTGGAACTCTTACAGAAGCTCCTCCTAGTAAAGGGAACAAGATAAATTACAAGATATGTACGTATGGGCAAACTCTGCTAGATTTGACATACAATGCAAATTACCTCAAAAAATGGGCAAGTATAGAAGATCTATATTAGAAGAAACAGCTAGAACAATAGCTAGCTTAGAAGTCATATTATTAAACCAACCCTGCATGAAGGAAAGCAAATATCAAGCCATAACGGTAGGCACCCTATGATACAAAGATTTTTCAATAAAGTCGCTTTGATTTTTATACATAGTGATTGTGGATTTTTCATAGCGCAGATTTTTATCACACCTGTCTCACTGAAACACACTAGTCAGCAAAAGCTTTCGCAAAATATGAGCACCGTGTGGTCTTGCTTGTGGGGGGGGGAAATCCATCATCGGTAGGTTGTCCCAGTAGCTGTCCTTCATTTTTCCGGAAGCGGCGCGCGTGAGGTATTCTACTGGAGACTTCCGGAAGCCCCGCGCTGGAGAATCGAAAAACCAAAAAAAACAAAACAAAAAAAAAAATCAAAAATCCAGGACTCCTGTAGATTGGGCCCTGGATGGAAGAGTCCAGAAAACTTGTAAAAAACTCAGAAAACTAGAAAAAAACGCAAAAAAACACACACAAAAAAAAAAAAAAACAACAACAATTTTCCAGGACTCTTGCAGATTGGGCCCTGGATGGAAGAGTCCCTGGAAATTGATGTTTTTGGTGTTTTCGAGTTTTTTCGAGTGTTTGCATTTTTTATCGTTTTCCTCGAAAAAATCAAAAAAACCAAAAAAAACAAAAAAAACAATTTTCCAGGACTCCTGCAAATTGGGCCCTGGATGGAAGAGTCCCTGGAAATTGTTTTTTTTGGTTTTTTTGGTTCTTTTGGTTTTTTTGTTTTTTTTTGGTTTTTTTGGTTTTTTTGGTTTTTTATTTTTTTGGTGTTTTTGTTTTTTTTTTTGTTTTGTTTTGTTTTTTTTTGGTTTTTTTGGTTTTTTTTTGGTTTTTTCGAGTTTTGCATTCTTTTCTAGTTTTCCGAGTTTTTGTAAAGTTTTTCTAGTTTTCTGCGTTTTTTCGTATGAAAAGCATGTATCGTGTAAGGAAAAATAGCCAAAAAGCGCACTCCCACGGTCCCCCGTTTTGTATATATATATATATATATATATATATTTTTGTATTTATTTATCCCGTGGAGCTTGCTTTATGATCTTGTGGATACATATATATGTATATGTATATATAGATATATATGTATATATGTATATATATATAAATGCACAGAAAACTTCGCACTGCAGGCCCGAATGTTACATATGTCACTGTTTAGAGCTACTCAGGTATATATGTATACATAGAAGGGTTATATAAGCGGAGTAAGGTGGTTGTATAGTCACTTTTGGAGTTCCTCTTGCAGCCACATATATGTGCGCCATGTCTTGGAGCCCCCAGTTCTTTCGAGGTTCTTTCAGATTCGGCTGAGTGGACTGTTTTCTTGTGGGTTTAGGGTTTAGGGTTTAGGGTTTAGGGTTTAGGGTTTAGGGTTTAGGGTAGCTTGAGTACAAGTCTACGGCATCCCGAAGCTCGGCTGTCTGGCGGCAGGTACAACTGGCTCAACGTGAAAATCACGAGGGTCCGGCCTCTTGCCTTGCAAAGGAAGCTGTTGGCCGCTTAGCGTTTGGGGTTTAGGGTTTGGGGTTTAGGGTTTAGGGTTTAGGGTTTAGGGTTTAGGGTTTAGGGTTTAGGGTTTAGGGTTTAGGGTTTAGGGTTTAGGGTTTAGGGCTTGGGCATTGGGATTGGGGATGGTGGTCTCTGTCCACGCACGAGTTGTCAGAGGGCTGCTGAGTCGATAGATCCATCTGTTCGTTTGTTCCTGAAAGGGCTTCCCTGGCTTGCAACTGTTGCCCCTTATCGGGCAGATGATTCGACAGAAAACCCACACAGGGGGAACTTGTACATGTAGTCCTAAATTTAGCTTCGGTAAGCGATGTGCCTAAGTTGCAGGGTTCCGGGGTTCCGAAGTACAGTATCGGAAAACTCTGAAATTTTCAGGCCCCTCCATCAAACCCAGCTCCGAGCGTTGAACAATCTCAGAGGATGAAAGCAGGGATCCCGCCAAAGAAGAAGCAAAACCCGATGAATTCTGAACACCCTAAACCCCAAACCTCAAACCCTACACCCTAAACCCCAAACCCTAAACCCTAAACCCCAAACCCTAAACCCTAAACCCTAAACCCCTGAGGATGCGATTCATTGGCCCCACTGGCTGGAGGAGATGGTCGGAGGTCTTGTTTCTCACTTTTGCTTCTCGGCTCCGACATCCCCCCTACTTGAAGCCCTAAACCCTAAACCCTAAACCCTAAACCCTAAACCCTAAACCCTAAACCCTAAACCCTAAACCCTAAACCCTAAGACCCTACACCCTTTCGGGAACCCCCCCAAAAAAAGGCAAGGGAGAGTTTAGGGTGTAGGGCACCCGAGTTTTGTACAGCAAGTGGGTTCAGGGTTTAGGGTCGAGGGTTTGGGGTTTAGGGTTCAGAGGGTTTAGGGTTTAGGGTTTCAAGAAGGATCCCTTGAAGTGAGATCAAGCCCACACAGAAAGCCGAATGCCGCCGCCTGAGGTCGTGTCCAGCATCAAGCTCCCAGGCCGTGCTTGAAAGCAGCTCTTTTTCATGCCTTGGTTGGGTTTATATTTCCTAAACCCCAAACCCCAAACCCCAAACCCCAAACCCCAAACCCCAAACCCCAAACCCCAAACCCCAAACCCCAAACCCCAAACCCCAAACCCCAAACCCTAAACCCTAAACCCTAAACCCTAAACCGAAATCCTAAACCCTAAACCCTAAACCCTAAACCCTTTAAAGAAGGGTTCCTCTCAGAGCTCCAAGGTTCATGGTCCCGGTCCTTCTGATGGATGGCGTGTCGAACGTCTTCGGCTCTGTCAAGCACACGCTGTGGTGCGGGGGTGTAGGGTTTAGGGTTTAGGGGTTTAGGGTTTAGGGTTTAGGGTTTCGGGGTTTAGGGTTTAGGGGTTTAGGGGTTTAGGGGTTTAGGGGTTTAGGGGTTTAGGGGTTTAGGGGTTTAGGGGTTTAGGGGTTTAGGGGTTTAGGGGTTTAGGGGTTAGGGTTTAGGGGTTTTAGGAGCGAAGGGCTCGGGCTTAGGGTTTAGGGTTTAGGGTTAGGGCTTAGGGGTCTTCAGGGATTAATTAGGGTTCAGGGGTTTTAGGGGATTAGGGTTTCGGGGTGTTAGGGGATTAGGGTTTCGAGGCTTTAGGGGTTTTAGGAGATTTAGGGGTTTTGGGTGTTTAAGGGCTTGGGGTTCGGGTTTTTGGGGGGTTTGGGTGTTTTAGGGGTGCAGGGGCTTCAGGGGCTGTAGGGGCTTACGCGCCTTTAGGGGCCTTTAGGAGCTTTAGGGGTTGAGGGGCCAGAGGGCTTTGGGGGGAATGGGGTTGTGGGCTTGGGGTTTCGGGACCCTAAGCCCTAAACCCTAAACCCTAAACCCTAAACCCTAAACCCTAAACCGCCTTGTTAGAGGGGTGAGGGCTTTCCACAACAACTCGTGCCAGCATCCTCCTCAAGCCCTAGGCAAAAAGAAAAACCTCAGGGGCTTCAGACTGGCACTCCCTAAGGTTGTACCCCTAAAGCTTCCCCTGAACACATACTCCTAATGTGGCCCTCTCATACTGCCCTAAGGATCGTTGAACAGGGTCCCCAAAACCGAAGGGTACCTTAAGTGTCCAAGGTACAACCCCCTAGAAGACCATGAAGCCTTACAAAACCTTAGAAAGCGACAAAGCTGCACAAATGGCGCCCCTAAACCCTAAACCCTAAACCTTAAACCCTAAACCACTCCTACATAGCCATCCCAGCCTCCGCCACAAGACTCGAAGGCTTTCGGGCCCTTCAGCGTTTAGGGGTTTCGGGTTCAGCAACGGGTTCAGCAGATGGTTGTTTATATACAAAGCCCAGGATGACAACCCTAAACCCTCAACCCCTACTCCAACACGCCGCCCTGCCCATACCCCCCCCTGCCCCCACCCAACCCCCCCTCCCACGCAGCGCCGAAACAGCGCTGCCGAGCAGCTCCAATTTGGAGCGATTCGGAGCTTCCAAATCGAGCTTCTGGGTTCTTTTTTTGCTTGCTAACGTTTGCAAATAGTCCTCCTGATGCATTTTTTTGTAGGACAACTTTCGGCTCGAGAATATCGCCAGGAGCGATGTTGTTAAGTAGGGCTGTCAAGGCAGGGCAAGGCAAGCTAGGTGGCTCGCCTGCAGAAGGCATGGCCAGCAGTGCTGCTGGGCCCAGCTCGCCTGTGCAAGGCGGCAGGAAGAGCATGGATATGGATCAAATCAGGAGTGTTGCAGCCATGCTCCGGGGCAGCTTCGGTGGCAAAGACATGAAAGAAAGCTTGTGGAATGGTGCCCCAGAGGAAGTCGGTGAAAGGCACCACAAATTCCTTTGCCTTTGGTTTAGGCAGCCTCCGACGAGCATTGAAATTACAAGGAAGATATGGCAAGAAGCTTTCCCTGGCCTGGACAAGGCAAGCCGAAATTCGGTTTTGAAGAAGCTCGCTGCAGTGAGAACGATGCGCAAGAGAAAAGACAGAAATTCCAAGACAGGCGAGCTGATGCCATCGTGGTTGAAAGAATTGTTGCGAGCTTTGAAGGAGTCTGCATCTGCACGTCCTGTGCGAATTAGCTCGGGTACGGACTCGCAGCCCCCGGGGTTGCTGCAGCTGCACCGGCAGCGACACCCAAACGAAGAATCTTGAGGAAGGAGCCTTCGATGCCGGGGTTCAGCTCAAGCACGTCAATTTTAAGGCTCCGAAGCCTTGCCCAACCTTGCCGGGCCTTGCCCAATGCTTGCAACCCCTACTCTCCGAACCCTGAATGTGATCTCAAAAACGCCTTAACACCCCAAACTTGATCAGCCCTACAAGGCCCCTACAAGTCTGTATGCATCCCAACGTAGCGTAAGCTGTTTTCGCTTCCTGGCCTTCGTGACTCTTTGCATGACACAGCCAAATCTTGCCAGAGAGTCTTTGTTGACCCCGTGCCCTCCAGTCCGGAGCTTCAAGCCCTGAACCCGAGACCACAGCAAGGCAATGCTGCTCATGATCTTGATTGTCTCCGCTGCGTGTGTAGCAGTGCCTTGCCAAGTCAACGAACGACGCAACCCGTGGTTGAAGGATGTTGAAGCTGGTTTCATCGGGGTACACTTTCGAGCACAGGTCATCCCAAGTTTCCATTCCTAAGCTGCAACCTGAAATTCAACGCTGAACGCCGAGCATCAAACCTGCGACTTACCCCTCAAACCGAAACTTTACACCTGCGGCCACGTCCTTGAGCTTCAATGGTTGCAGGCCCTGAGGGTTACAGAGACAATGGCAGAATGGCGCGGTCGCTTAGGATGCTTCGCGTCGCGAGGGTGCCGTCAGAGTTTCCATGGCTTAGGTTGCACGTTCTGAGGGTCGAAGAATTCTATGGCCTAGGGCTTGTATTGGCAGATCGCAGAAATCACTGAGGCCGCTCTCGCCGCTCTGTTGCTCTGGCTCAGGAAGCTAGTCTGCACATTGCCGGCTCAGTTTTCCTTTTTTGCGACTACAGTCCATCTAGTCTTGGGCTAACAGCAGCAGGGGGACTTCTCCATTCTCATTTTCCTGATGGCTAGACACGGGCAGATGGTTTTCGGACGGAAGCCTCTGAGAAGGCTGAGGTGTGCACAAGCGAAGCACACTCCTGGGCTTTCATCTCAAGACAGAATTAAACCAGGGAAATGATACGGTGTAGTTTTTTAAATATTTGGAGGGCGGCCAGGCCCCGGGAGCCACGGAGGTAGTAGAAAAGTGCTGTTTAAATCGTGTATTTACAAACTCACCTCCACCCCTCCGCCCCTACCCCTCCACCCCAAGGCCCCTCCACCCCACGGCCCCTCCACCCCTCCACTCCTCCACCCTCCACCCCTCCACCCACTCACCAGCCCCTGCACCCTCGCCCTTCCGCACCCCACCCCTCCACCAACGCGTGGAGGGATGGACCTAAACCCTAAACCCTAAACCAGTTAGTTCGGTTCTAAGGGAAGTATAGAAGACCTGCCAACTTTGCAGGTGGAATGACCAGGCAGAGGCAGTCAAAGCCATTTTCCACAAGGAGCCCGTCGATCAAAGGCTGTCGAAGTTGCTATTCCCTAAACCCTAAACCCTAAACCCTAAACCGTAAACCCTAAACCCAAGAGCTCGGGAGAGTTCATTCAGAGGTGCTGCAGTCTGCAGCCTCCACAGCCCTCCGCAGCTCAGCTCCCCAAGCCCCAAAAGCTTGACCCCCCCCCTTTTGGGTATAGTTTAGGGTTTAGGGTTTAGGGTTTAGGGTTTAGGGTTTAGGGTTTAGGGTTTAGGGTTTAGGGTTTAGGGTTTAGGGTTTAGGGTTAGGGCATCCCATCCCATGACGCCAGGAGATGCTGGCATCCGATATGGCCATTTTAGGCGCGGAGCTGGTCGGTGAGCTCCCGGAAAATGCCCATGGCCAGCGCACAGCTTCGCCACATCCAACCTTTTGAAACGTCGGAGATTTGAAGGGTTTAGGGTTGGGGTTTGGGGGTTTTGGGGTTTAGGGGTTTTGGGGTTTAGGGGTTTTGGGTTTTGAGTTCAGGGTTTACCTTGTTTGAGAGATGCTTCACTGGCATGGGCCCTAGCCTAGACCCTAAACACCGGTTGGGCGTCGGGATGCCTGAAGATGCCAGGCACCGTGCAGTTCTTCATCGCCTGCTGGACGAAGCTTGCCAGAGTTTAGTAGGGTTTAGGGTTTAGGGTTTAGGGTTTAGGGTTTAGGGTTTAGGGTTATAAGGACCTCAAAGAAGGTTATAGGTATAGGCACCCCTACTACCAACCCTACTTACTTGGAGCTTCATGGGCACTTCTTATCCTAGGCTGAGCACCGGGTCCCTAGCACGCTAAGTTTTCCAAATTGAAGCCTTAAACTTAAGCCATAAACTCTGAACCCTGAAACCCTGAAACCCTAAAACCCGAAATCCTGAAACCCCCAAACCCTGAACCCTAAAATTCCTGAGCCCTGAGACCCTAAAACCCTACACCCTGAAACCCTGAACCCCTAATGCCCTACAAGCCCCCTAAACCTGAACCCTAAGACCCTAAAACCCTAAACTGCCCTAAACCCTAAAACCTGAAACCCTGAACCCCTAAAGCCCTAAAAGCAGATCGAAGCCTTTTAGGTATGGCGCCGGCGTGCCGAGCGGGCTCTTCCTGCCCTCGCCCCCCGGATGCGCTGAGTTGAGAGTGTTCTGGGTGCTTTCAGGGAGCTCTTGGGCTTAGGGTTTAGGGCTAGGGTTTGGGGTTTGGGGTTTGGGGTTTGGGGTTTGGGGTTTGGGGTTTGGGGTTTGGGGTCTAGGGGTTCGGTACGGAGGCTGCCACCCCAACACCCTAGACGCCCCAAAAAAGCCCCTCAACAAGAGACCCGCCACCCCTTCTCCCCACCCCACCCCCCGCGAACGCTAAACCCTAAACCCTAAATCCTAAATCCTAAACCCTAAACCTATCCCTGAACCCTAACCCTAAACCCCAAGCGAATCGAAGAGAGGCTGTACCTGGGCGCCGCCTGGGGAAAGCTTCTGGGAATGGGCTTCTACTATGCCGGCCTGCTCCGCCACATTGCTGCCCGGCCTCCCTGATTATGCGCCAACCTGAAGCTCAGTGCTGGCTCATTTTTGAAATTCAGTTTACATGTTTGTCAATGTGAATACTTAAACCGACCCCAAAAAACCAAACATGATCATGTCAATACTACCCCCAATTCAATGGTGCAGAGTGTGTGTGTGTGTGTGTGTGTGTGTTTTCTCGTACTTGTTGTAACAAAGTTTATGAGAGATAGGAACCCCCCCCCCCTGTAGCTTGCAAGCCCTCTTGAGGAGGGGTGCCCCGTTGTGTTCTTAGGCTACTGGGCAACCTCCAGGGTTTAGGGTTTAGGGTTTAGGGTTTAGGGTTTAGGGTTTAGGGTGTAGGGTTACATTTGAAATTGGAGCCGTCGGATTGGTAGGGATGGGCTGCGTCCCCTTCGCTTGAAGAGGCTGTTGGAAGGGCACGTGGTTTTGTAGAATCCTTCTGGAATCTCCTGTGTGGATGTGCCAGAGTCGTTGGAGCCCCCCGAACGCCTGCACGCAGAGCTGGTCAGTTGTAGGAGTCCCAGGAAACCTAAACTCACCCACCCATACCAACACACGTCTATCTGTCGATGGCTTGCCTTACTCGTTCTCAGTAGGGAATTCGGCACCTTCCTGAACCTTGCTGAGAACCACAAAAGCTCGTCCTGTCCCATCCTGAAACACCTGAGAGCGACGCCGACAAGTACGCCTTCGTCGGCTCTGCCGCCGCGTTGTCTGGCCTCGGGCGGATTACGATCTCGCTCTCTGCGCCTTGGAGGGACTTCGAAATGTTCGATGCGCCAAAGTTGACAATACCCAATCGTGTAGCTTTGTGGAGTAACTAGTCATAGACTCGTAGGAGACGAGTCACCACATCTACGATCTCAGTGCCGGCCTGCTCTTCGGAACTTTGCAGTCATTTGCCAGTTGATGCCCCGAGCTGCCTCAGGTCATCGTGATGGAGTGTACCATCAACAACCAGTTCGGCGTTCCTCTCTTTCTCGCGACGATGTTGGCCAAGTGGGTGGGACGACCCCTGGAGTGCTTATGATTCATACTTGGGCCCAGGGCCCCACAAACCTTACTGTCGGTTAATGAGGTTCCCTATATAATCCCTCAAGGGGTATACATGGGGCCCAATTCCCTCATTCCCTGCTAGCCCTAAACCCTAAACCCAAAACCCATTAAGAAACAGGCTTCAGGTGCTGAGTGTGACATGTTGGCACCGGCCAGCTAAAGCTACGACTGGCACTTCAAAGACCTCCTGAGCTGAGGCAGAATAACCTTCGGCATGAACCTTAAACTTTCTAGCCCTAAACCCTAAACCCTAAACCCTAAACCCTAAACCCTAAACCCTAAACCCTAAACCCTAAACCCTAAACCCTCCTGCCCCCCAAACCTCAGACCCTTCACCGTACCAGCCCCTGGAATCCCTGCAAAGGGGCCCTATAGGGTGCCCATCTGCCATCTGAGAAATCTTCAACGAGGGGATTTACGACCTGCACTTGGAGCTGAAGCGGCTTTGCTTGCAGGGTTAGGGGTTTAGGGGGTTACAGGGTTACAGGGTTACAGGGTTACAGGGTTACAGGGTTACAGGGTTACAGGGTTACAGGGTTAGAGGGTTACAGGGTTTAGGGTTACAGGGTTTTTGCGGGGTTCAGGTCTTCGGGTTAAGGGTTTAGGGGAAGTTTTGGTCGGCTCTCAGGGGAGACTCAGGCGGTAGGACTCTGATGTTGCAAGGGGAGTAGGCTTTCCTGCTGTCCTTTCACGCAGCGATCAGTTCAGTTGTAGTTTCTGCCGTCCTTCCATGCAAATCCTCAGCCCTCATCAAGCTTAAACCCCTACCCTAATCCCAAAGCCCTTGGAGGCCTGTGGAGCTTGGGAGAGTGCCCCGCGTAGTTGGTTGTCCTCAGAACCCGTCCTTGGAATGCGGCCTTACGTTCACACCGTTTACCCGGTTTCTTGAGTGGGGTTCTTATGGGCCTAGGGCACGCATTTCGTGTAGCTTTCATACTTTCCGATTGCCTTTGAGCCCAAATCACAAGAGCGCACAGGCATGTGCCCCTTCTGGAGCCGATGGGTGGCAAGGCGGCTTGTGAGCAGAGAGATTCCGATGGTAGTCTTGAATCACAAACCCCTCTTCCGCTGACCCAGCTCTGGTTTCATGAGCTCTAAACTCCCTAAAGCCTAAACCCTAAACCCTAAACCAGCACTGCCTTGACTGCGTGGAGTTTGCTTGGCCCATCTTGGAAGCATCTTAAGCCTCCAAGGGTTCTATTCAACATATCTTCCCTACTTTGGGCCATAGTTTGTAAACCCTAAACCCCAAACCCTAAACCCTACTTGAGTGCAAGAGGATCATATTTTGGGAATATTGTTCAGAGGCTTCAAGGGGGCCAATAAGGTTTTGGCTTTAGGGTTTGGGGTTTAGGACGGGTTTAGGGTTTAGGGTTTAGGCTTTAGGGTTTAGAGTTTAGGGTTTAGGACTGGTTTAGGGTTTAGGATGTAGGGAGCCTTTGCAACAGGAGCTTCTCGACCTCCGGGCTATGGACATCATGGCACGTGCCGCTTGGCTTGGGAGGGTTTAGGGTTTAGGGTTTAGGGTTTAGGGTTTAGGGTTTAGGGTGTAGGGTTTAGGGTTTAGGGTTTAGGGTTTAGGGTACCCCGCAACCAACCCCCCCCCCCACCCAGACTCGGAGGGTTTTGGTAGGGCTTCGGGTTCAGGGTTTAGGGTTTCGGGTTTCATGTCTCTACAGAGGGTTTTTCGTGATGTGCGTATTACCGCGTTTGGTTCTTTTCGGAGCTCTGCCCCGCGCGCTGGCGATCTCAACGCAGGGGCGCCTAAAATCTGAAACGGGATCAAATGGGGGGGGGGGGGGTTTACGACAATAGATTAGGGGACCTTACTAGGGTCCTTATTATAAGGGAATCCTACTATTCATTTTTAGGGTTCCCCTACTTGCGTAGACCCCAAATCCTGGCATTTCAATACTGGCTGCGCTTCTTCCGACACAGGGACCATAAGCCCCAGAGGGTTTGAACCTTTGCAGTTGCGGTAGCACCTTCCCCCTGCGTTTCTTGTGAGCGTCTCGCACTAGACGGGAGATGCATCTACATTGTGGGCCTATAGAGACACGTACGTGCAATCCCCAAGTCACACCTATGTCTCCAGACCGCTGCGTCACACTGTGTGGAGCATGCCTCATGTACGAATGTAAGCCTTAGAAAATCTTAATGTTTAGGGTTCAACGGGTTTAGGGTTCAAGGCTAGCTGTTCACTCTCCCTAAGCCCTATAACCTCCCGGGTTAGGGTCCGGGTTTAGGGTTCAAGGTGAACTCCTCCCTAAGCCCTAAAGTAACAAGGACATTAAGACGCTGCCGCCGACGGCTCCTGTCAAACAGCTGGTGGGCTTACTACAGGACCAGCAAAAGGAAGCTCGGTAGTTTAGGGTTTAGGGTCGAGGCTTCAGGGTTTAGGGTTTAGGGTTTAGGGTTTAGGGTTTAGGGTTTAGGGCTTAGGGCTTAGGGCTTAGGGCTTAGGGTTTGGGGTTTAGGGTTTAGGGTTTAGGGTTTAGGGCCTAGGCAGGCCCTTTGGGATGTTCATTGTGTCAGAGCACAGAAGGGACCAACCTCCTGTAGGAAGGCTCTTTTCAAAGTGGTTTTTTCGAGTCGGGCGTGAGAATCTGCACGCCCGCGCCTCGCCAGAACCAGCTTCCGCGCGGGCTGGCATAGGCAACAGCCACGCAAATCATCATGGACGTCCGACTGTTCCGTGTTGGGGAAAGTTCTTTGAATTCTTGGCGGATCCGAATCTGTAGCTTCTTTGACCGTCAGCGGTGAGACGGAGAGTGCAGTGAGTTGTCAGAGCCAAACCCTAAACCCCAGACCCCAAACCCTAAACCCTAAACCCTAAACCCTAAACCCTGAACCCTAAACCCTAAACCCTATGCTTCCTTTGATACTACAACGGCAACTGCTGTGATTGCCGCGGCATCTGGACCACGGTCCCCTAAACCCTAAACCCCAAACCCCAAACCCTAAACCCTAAGCCCTAAACCCTAAACCCGAAACCCTAAACCCTAAACCCCAAGCCGCTCGAACCGCAGCAACGCGGGACAGGGGGCTTTGGGTTTACACCCCACCTGGGTTTTGGAGTACTACACTTTAATACTTTTCTTGGTTCTGGGTTCCTATAATAGCTACTTAAACCTAAAAAGTATATACTTTTTTCCAGGGTCTACTCCAAAGCTAAGCCACACCTGGTAAGATTCGACTCCCTTGGGCCAGGACGAGAGTCACAACCACCACGGTTTTCCGATCATCGACATGCCCTGGGCTCAGCTTCTCTGTGGGGTTTAGGGTTTAGGGTTTAGGGTTTAGGGTTTAGGGTTTAGGGTTTAGGGTTGGGGTTTAGGGTTTAGGTTGGGGGTCTTTTGGGGTGCGCGGTCTGAGGCCTCTGAATTGTTTACCCGCTTGGTATTCCGAGTCTCATTCTGAGGCCTGCGTCTTCTTTAGGGGGCAGAATGCTCTCCGAGGGAGCATGCCAAGTCCGGGAAGCAAATTTCCCAGGTAGGATAAGGGGGACCCTTAAACGGGAACCCCTTCTTAAGCCTCTTCTGGCTCTCTTAAGCAGGGACCTTATTCAGAGGGTCTATATCCCCAAGGATTCCCCTAAACCCTAAACCCTAAACCCTAAACCCTAAACCCTAAACCCTAAACCCTAAACCCTAAACCCTAATCCTATCCCCTACAAATAGTGAGTCCATCGACTGCACCTCTGAATTCACCTGCTCCGGGACTGCCTTCCAGGCCCTCTTCCCAGTGGTTTCAGTCCTCAACCCTAAAACCCTAAACCCTAAACCCTAAATCCTAAACCCTGAACCCTAAACCCTAAACCCCAAACCCTAAAACCCTAAACCCTAAACCCCTAAACCCTAAACCCCAAACCCTAAAACTCAGGTCCTCGGGCGTGTTCTTGGGCCTCATTCGCCGGAGTGAGCTTCTGCACATCTTGGAGAGAGGCCAGAAGTACTAATAAGTATTCCCTTAAGGTCTCCTTTATAAATATACTATAATACCCCCAAGCCCTAAACCCTAAACCCTAAACCCTAAACGCTATTATTCAGGCTCCTACAGCTTTCGGGTATCTTTCTATACGGAGCATCTGCACAGACCTAGATCCTGGAAACGCTTTCGGGCGTAGGGCGGCTCTAGGGTTCAGGGTTTAGGGTTTAGGGTTTAGGGTTTAGGGTTTAGGGTTTAGGGTTTGGCCCTTCTTGCTACAATTTCCTTACTTGGTAGCCCCGTGGTACCCTTTTGCCCTTTCTGTTGGTTCAAGGTTCCTTTATGACGCATTAGAATATTGTCACTGGGCTACCCATGGCAGCCTTAACATCCGTCTTCTGCAGCCCTACTCCAATCACCCTGCCGGCCCCCCCAGGGTTTAGGGGATTTAGGGGTTTAGGGGATTAGGGGTTTAGGGGTTTAGGGGTTTAGGGGTTTAGGGGGTTAAGGGGTTTAGGATGGTAGGATGGTTTAGGGGTTTAGGGGTTTAGGGGTTTAGGGGTTTAGGGGTTTAGGGGATTAGGGGTTTAGGGGTTTAGGGGTTTAGGGGTTTAGGGGTTTAGGGGTTTAGGGGTTTAGGGGTTTGTGGCATGGACCTTTAGGGTCTATTTGGCACTTCCTTTTTGTTTGCTATTTAAACGGTTCAATTCACACGTACAATTTGTAGGGTTTAGGTTTAAGGCAAAATTTATGGCTTAGGGCTAGTTCGGTTCACGGCTCAGGGCTCCCATGTTTGGCATCACATCTCTTATTTTCCTAGGGCTTCGCCACCTACCATCTCATTCTAGGGTGTATGTTTTCCATTCAACCCTCGTTTAAGGGTCTGGTGTTTGCCATAAATATACTACTTTAAAAAAACAATAATAACATAAATACCGCTAACTACAGGAGCTGCTGGAAATGACAAACCCTGAGCGCTCTCAAGTGTGTTGCTTCAAATAAGACGATAATATACTCCTTTCTTGGTAAATATTCCCATGACCATATTGTTGTTTTAGCCGCTTTTAGCCTTTTCCTATTAGTATTGTTTTTGTTTACCTGATATAACACGAAGGAAGGGGAAAGGGAAAACACCACTTCATCTCGATGTATTTATCTCTCATTTCCTTCCCTCTCAAGATTTTTTTTGTTTAATCTCCCTCTCTCTCTCTCTTCTTCGCTCTGTCTCGCTATCTCTCTCTCTCTGCCATCTCTTGCTCTCTTATCCCTCCCCTCCCCTCTTTCCTTCCTCCCCTCCTTTCCAAAACTTTCTGCGGAGAATAAGGAAAACAGAGAACAAAAAGGAAAAGATAGGATGAAGGCAGATGGTGGGGACAGGAAGGGAGAACTCCTCTTTCGCTCGGTTCACACGTTTTCTCTTCCCTTGCCTTCATCCTCTGCTCTTCTCCCTTTTCTCTTCATAAGAAGAAAGGACAAATGAAAGGAACCGAAAGCTCAGGGAAAGCAAGACACCCTCGCTCTCATCATCTGCCCCTTCCTCGACTTCATTGCTCTCTTCATCTCTGTCTCCATCTCTCTCTATCTTCTTCTTCTTCTTCTTCTTCTTCTTCCTCTTCTTCTTCTTCTTCTTCTTCTTCTTCCGCTGGGCTTGCAGTTCTCCCTTTCTCTCTGTCATTTCTGCGTATTGTTCTTTCCGTTCTTGCTTCTCTTTCTATTTCTCCACCTTCCTTCCTCTCCTTCCTGCTTCTTAGCTTTTGACCAGAAAAAGAAAATGAAAGAACGGCAAGCTCGTCTTGGTTTATCACTGATCACCAATGAGACAGGAGAGAAGAACAAGGAATGCACAGAGGCAGAGGACAAAGCCCTGCTGCTTTCTTCATCTCTTCCTCTTTTCATCCCCCCTCTCTCTTTCTCTCCCCCTCTCTCTGTCTCTCTCTGTCTCTCTCCCCCTCTCTCTCTCTCTCGCTCTCTCCCTCTCCCTCTCTCTCTCTCTCTCTCTCTCTCTCTCTCTCTCTCTCTCTCTCTCTCTCTCTCTCTCTCTCTCTCTCTCTCTCTCTCTCTCTCTCTTCTCTCTCTCTCTCTCTCTCTCCTCTCTCTCTCTCTCTCTCTCTCTCTCTCTCTCTCTCTCTCTCTCTCTCTCTCTCTCTCTCTCTCTCTCTCTCTCTCTCTCTCTCTCTCTCTCTCTCTCTCTCTCTCTCTCTCTCTCTCTCTCTCTCTCTCTGTGTTTCTTTCTTACTTTCTCTCTTACTTTCTGTCTTTCTTTCTGTCTTTCTTTCCCTGGCAAAAGGGAATTTGCGGAAGTAGAGAGGGAGGGAGGGTGAGAGGGAGGGAGAGAGAGAGAGAGAGAGAGAGAGAGAGAGAGAGAAGGAAGAGATGAAGATAAGATAAGGGTGAAAAGGTGAAAAGAATGAAAACAAAAATCTAACAGCAAAGTAGCTAAACAAAACCTTCTGGCCTACCCCTTCAACTCTAAACCACCCTAAACCCTCGGTACATTGAGATATAACAGCACAGTTCCCGTAGCATGCTATATCAGAAACCATTTCTTCCTACGAGACGTACAACCGCCTAAAACACGGTGACAAAAAATCAAACAGCGAGGCATCTGAAAAAACTTTCTGGCCTTCCCCTTCAACTCTAAACCACTAAACCCTCACTATATAAAGGCTTAACAGCACAGTTCCCGTAGCATGCTATGTCATTTCTTCCTACGAGACGCGCAACATAAACCAAGGCTTCGTATACTTTTTGTAGTCAGGGTGTGATACCCTGTTGCTTTGGACGAGTATTACGTCAGACCTTATGCGCCTGTGAGTCTTGCGGATAATTGGAATCGAAAATAAGCATTATCCTTGACAAATGATAACCATGATGGGAGACCTGTGGGAAACATTGAGAATGAAAAGCAAGATACTTGCGAGCAATTACTTGCAGCCTGTTGGAAGGTCTCAGGAAATCGCGAAAGGATATTTGCTCACAGTATTCTCGTGTCCCTGGGGCTTACAGTAAACGATTTTGCGCATTACCCTGTGCGCTCGAATACTTCTTAGTCTCATGGTTCGTTCTCCGCTATCGGTATTTGATATGCCATACATTTTTCCTATACACACACTTGATGTGGGCACCTACTCTACGTACTTTCTCTTTGCGTTTTGCTGACTGAGAGATGTTTTCAGGTGTGAAAAGGCCTCACGCGCCAACATCTGCTTCTGGACAACAAAGTAGAGATAATATGTTTTGTGCAGGGGGGGGCCAAGACAGTGCTTAATCGGCCCTGGGTTTGACGATTGAAGATTGAAGACGCCGGGGAATTCTCCCCGGAGCATCTTCAATCCCAGACCCATGCCGATTAAGCACTTCATCTGCCTAATCGGCCCAGGGTTAAAAGTTTAGGATTGAAGATGCTCCGGGGAGAGTTCCCGGGCATCTTCAATCTTCAATCTTCAAACACAGGGCCGATTAAGCACTCCACCTGCTGCTTAATCGGCCCTTGTATGGAAGATTGAAGATTGAATATGCCGGGGAACTCTCCCCGGAGTATCTTCAACCCCAGACCCCTGCCGATTAAGCACTTCATCTGCCTAATCGGCCCAGGGCTGAGAATCTAGGATTGAAGGTGCTCCGGGGAGAGTTCCCGGGCATCTTCAATCTTCAAACCCAGGGCCGATTAAGCAGGTGGAGTGCTCAATCGGACTTGAGGCCGAAGGATCAGGAGTGAAGATGCTCGGGGAGAGTTCCCCGGCATCGTCAATCCTTAATCTTCAAACCCAGGGCCGATTCAGCAGCTGGAGCGCTTACTCGGCTAGTTCAGTATTTCATATGCTCTGCTAAAGTTTTCTGTGGCATTTTCAAGCCCCCCTCCCAAAGACCCATCTGTACTTTCGTGTTTGGGACACCGAAGTAATGTAAGCCAAAGCTAAATGAAAGGGAAGAAGTCCCTTTTTCCTCTGCCTATCTTCTTCCTCCCACTCCTCTCTTCCTCTCCTATTCTTCTCTTAGCGAAGAGCATGGAGTGATGAGAGGGAAGGGGTGAAAGCGGATGAGAAAAGTGACGGAGAGGGCAGGGCAAAAACTTCATTTCCTTACCTTCTTCGTCCCTCTCACCTCTCCTTCTCATCGTTCTCTTGCTTTCTCGTTTGAGAAGGATGTGGAAAGGAGGGAAGGGCAGGGCATGGAACAAGGCGAGGGAAGGGGCAGGGGCGAAGGCGGAACACAGAGAGAGGGGAGGCGAAATCGAGTGAGAAAGGACGGAACAAGGAAGAGATGAGGAAAAATGCCTCAGAAGAGGAAGCGGGAGATGCCCTATCCCATCCCAAAGTTGCTGTATCTCAGGGGCCTCGGGAGTTGGCAGGGGCTCCCCAAAACCTCCCAAATGTAGGGGCCTTTAGAGGCTAGAGCTTCCAGTGGCATCCAACCCTCCCTCCCAGCTCGACATGAGACATTGCCTCTCCTCCCCTCCCCTCACCTCTTCCTTTCCTCGCAGAAAGAGACAGATCATAGTCCGCCGTCTTATCACGCCCTTCATTCTCCTTGCTTAAGCTTGCCTTTTCTATCCCCCCTACTTATTGGCAAAAGGGACAGAAGAGGAAAGGCCCATGGGCTGGACACGAGAAAAGCGAGAGCGGGGTCAAGGAGGAGAACGAACATGGAGAAGAAAGGAAGGAGAGCTAGAGGGAGGATAGAGAGATAGAGAGGAGAAATGAAGGACAAAGACCGTGGAAGAAAGGCGTGAGCGATGCTCGGGACATAAGTGTAAGGGGTGAGGAAAAGGAGCAGTGGATAACAAAAACAAGTGTCCTGCTTTACCTCTTCTCTTTCCTTCTTGATCTTCCCTGACCCCTTTTTGTTCTCCAAGCGGCCCTCTTTTCACCATCGCTTCCTTCTTCCTCTTCTTCGTTGTCTGTTTCCTTCACCCTGTTCCCCTATCTGTCGCTCTTCCACCGTCTTCCTTCTTCCTCTTCTGCCTAATTGTTGTCTCAGTCTCTTTGCTTCTCTATTTGTCTCCATCTCTCTCGGCGTCTTCTGTTCATTGCTTATTCTCCTCTTCCTCTCCTATTCTTCTCTTAGCGTAGAGCATGGAGTGATGAGAGGGAAGGGGTGAAAGCGGATGAGAAAAGTGACGGAGAGGGCAGGGCAAAAACTTCATTTCCTTACCTTCTTCGTCCCTCTCACCTCTCCTTCTCATCGTTCTCTTGCTTTCTCGTTTGAGAAGGATGTGGAAAGGAGGGAAGGGCAGGGCATGGAACAAGGCGAGGGAAGGGGCAGGGGCGAAGGCGGAACACAGAGAGAGGGGGGGCGAAATCGAGTGAGAAAGGACGGAAGAAGGAAGAGATGAGGAAAAATGCCTCAGAAGAGGAAGCGGGAGATGCCCTATCCCATCCCAACGTTGCTGTATCTCAGGGGCCTCGGGAGTTGGCAGGGGCTCCCCAAAACCTCCCAAATGTAGGGGCCTTTAGAGGCTAGAGCTTCCAGTGGCATCCAACCCTCCCTCCCAGCTCGACATGAGACATTGCCTCTCCTCCCCTCCCCTCACCTCTTCCTTTCCTCGCAGAAAGAGACAGATCATAGTCCGCCATCTTATCACGCCCTTCATTCTCCTTGCTTAAGCTTGCCTTTTCTATCCCCCCTACTTATTGGCAAAAGGGACAGAAGAGGAAAGGCCCATGGGCTGGACACGAGAAAAGCGAGAGCGGGGTCAAGGAGGAGAACGAACATGGAGAAGAAAGGAAGGAGAGCTAGAGGGAGGATAGAGAGATAGAGAGGAGAAATGAAGGACAAAGACCGTGGAAGAAAGGCGTGAGCGATGCTCGGGACATAAGT